ACAGTTGAGTCAGATCTGACTGGCACAGGAGGAGATTGCCTCTCCTTCTCCAGCAGAGCATCTGATGGATTTGAACCTCGAGCCTTCAGGATTGCAGTTGAGCTTCTTGCACTAGGCCCCCAGGGCTCCCTGATAACATCTTTCTTTGCCTCTCAGGAATGAGGAGAAGTAGGCATTGTCCCAAAGCTTTGGGTAATCTTTGTTTAAAACGAGCACTTTAACTCGACTTCATCTCACATACTTTGGACATGGTGTTAGCAGAGGCTATTCCTGGAAAAGGATTATTATGCTTGCGAAGATGGAGGGTTAGCAAAAGAGAGTACGACCCTCAACCAGTGACTACAACAATGGACTTGAGTATGTCAAAAATGATGGGGATTGTGTACCAATGAGGGAGTTTTTCTTTTGCTTTTCAAGGAGAGGAGCAAATGGGGGGGGAGGGGGGAGGGGTTTGTGCGGGGAGAAGGGTGCAACAATGAATGAATGGAATTCCAAAATCTCTGTAGATGTTCATTGAAATGAAAAATAAACAACCTAAATTTAAAAAAAAAAAAAAGATGAGGATGGCACAGGATAGGACAGAGGTCAGATCTGTTGTTCATATGATCACCATGGGTGATACTCAACTCAATGGCATCTAACAACAACAATAACAGGCAATATCTCATGACTGCTTCTTCAGAGTCAAACCACTTCGTTTACCAGCTCTTGAGGAAACTGGTGACAAATGCGAAAGCCAGCTGGATGTGTCACTGATGGAAGAAAGCAGTGTTCACATCTCAATTATCTTCCTCATTTTAAGAAACACAATCAAGTTTCTTAAATTACCAACCTTCACCCCAACTCCTCTCAGCAGCTGCAGCACAGTCCCCAGAAAGGACCATCCCTCTGTGTACCCTCAGCACATCTGGACTTGCCCCCATGGCTCCCAGCCACCTTGCCTTGTTGGTGTTGGGAGTGCTACGTTTATGTTGACTCATCCTTAGGTGATAGTATAACTGCCCTGTAGCGTTTTCTAGGATGTTATCTCTACGGAGGCAGATCACCAGCCCTTTCTCCTAAGGAAGTGGGTCTGAACCACTAACATTTCATCTAGGAACATAACCCACCAAGGCTCATCCACCTTGCCTTCTTCACTCCCTCCAATTCCATCAGAAGTGGCCCGTCACCTCAAGACCCACTCTTAAAAACCTAACAAAGCTGGACCCTAACCATTTATTTTCACCAGTTTTGAATCAATGGACCTTTTCCTTCCTCTCCACCTCTTCTTAAGTCTTCTTATTCTTGACTTCTCTACAACTGTTCTTTCTCATCCCTTTGCATTTCCAGAATTGCTTTGCCTTCCTTACTCTTAAGTGAGAAGTCTGGCAGTGTAGTGTATTCCATGTAGGATTGCCAGCCACAGGTCAGCAGTTCAAATCTACCAAGTGCTCAGGGGAAAAACGATGGGCAGTCTCCTCCCATAAAGATGTACAGCCTTGGAAACCCAGTGGACGGTCACTACGACTTGGAACCAACTCAGCAGCAGTGGGTTACTTGTAAGTGGGGTCACACCTCTCTCATAGCCCCTTTAGATGGTACACCTTCACCTGTAGTCCAAGACCTTCTTAAAGCACTTACTGTCAGAGCCTGACACCAGGAAGATCGAGAGTCACTTAAGAGAACAAGGTCACTACGAAGCTGGTGTGCTCATCTCTGCAGCCACTCTCTGGCCCTGCGTCTCTGCTCATAAGAGGACAAATTAAGGCAGGAGAGGGCTCGAGCCACAGTCTTTCCAGCCTAAGAGGCTCGAGAGCCAGGTATCTCTATTCAGCCCTCCCAGCCTAAGCCTCAAGTCGTCTTCTCCAATTCAGTTTTGACTAGATCCCACCACTGGTTGTCAGAGCTAAATCTCTAACCAGAAATCACACTTTCAATACAAGTACAATTTTTCTGGAGGCCTAGAGTAGTGAGAAACATGTTTTTCATAAATATTTCATAAAGATTACAGGCTAGAAGAACCTCAGGGCGGTTGTACTCTGTTGCTGTTAGATGCCTCAAGTCGACTATGACTCAGGGTGACCCTGTGAACAGCAGATCTCAATCAGTCCTATTCTGTGCCATCATGGGTCCAAAAGCAACTCGATGGCATCTAACAACAAAAATAACAACCACTGCTCTTCTTTTTTTTTTTTTTTGAAGCCTTGTATAGAGCAAACAGTTAACAAAGTCAGCTGATTAACCACAGAGTTGATGGTTCAAGTCTCCCCAGTGGTACTGTCGAAGAAAAGCCAGCGATCTATTTCTGAATAATCAATCAGTCCCTGAAAACCCTATGGCACATGGCTCTGCTCTGAAGCACATGGGGTTCCTGAGAGTCGGAAATGACTCAACAGCAACCAGAAGACATTACTGTTCTAAAAAATTCATGTGTGGTCAATGAATGCTTATGGACAATGTAGGTATTAAAATTATCAACATGAAACAAAATATGCCTCATTGGGCTGATTTCTTTTAAAAGGCTAGGGAAGAGTTTACACACAGACAGAATCAATCTTGGAAGGGTGGCAGGGATGGAAAGGGAGGGAGAGGAGCAAAGATTGAGGGATGGATGGGCTGCGCCAAGTAAAGGTAATGACAATGGGGGTTTGAAGAGATGTAATTAACTGCATTCACCAAGTTGAATTAATGTAAAATAATTTCTAAAAAGAAAAGCAGTCTCAGAAGAGAAGAGAGCCCAAAAGCAGCATTTAGATTCCAAAATGACAGGACCAACCCCTGCTGTGAACCGCTGCCTTTCTCTCTGCAATCCAGCCTTAGCAGCCCTGGCTTCCTCTAACTCACTGCAGAGCATCATATACCTACCTATCCCTCTCCACAACTCAGTTAACTGCTCTACTCCTACAGGATCTGTTAACTCCTCCTCCCTCCTGAAAGTGGCTCTAGAATGAGCTTCACTTGGTAAGATCACGGGCAGGCCGGAAGCTTTGATAGCACACCCGTTAAACACTCAGCTGCTAACTTAAAGGTCAGCACTTTGAACTCACACAGGAGATCTGGGAAGAAAGGCCTGGTAATCTGCTTTTGTAAAGACTGAAAATAAAAGTTGACCTCAAGTTAACTCTGACACCTGGAGATGATGCTCCAGGACAGGATAAAACTGCCCCATAAGGTTTCCAAGGCCCTCATCTCTACTCACTGGGGGCCCAGTGGCAAAAAAAAAAAAAAAAAGAAAAAACCCATTGCAAATTCCAAGACACGTGGTTTGAATCCACCAGCCGCTCAGCCACAGAAGCATCTCCTCTCTGTGGGATTAACTGCCTCTTAAATCCCACCAGAGGGTCAGCTATGGACTGGTTCCAACTCAATGGTACACAACAACAACAACCATCTCTACTCAATCAGGCTGCCAAATTTTTCTCCTTTGAAGTAGTTTCAAACCATACCCTTCAGTTAACCACTGCCCCTTCAGGCCTCATTTCCCTTCAGGTTGCAGGAAAGAAACTCCTATGGGGCAGTTCTCCTCTCTCACACGGGGTCATTCTGAGTCCGAATTGACTCAATAGCACCCAATAAGCAGATGACAACTTGGGGCGCCAGCAATCTCAGATCTAGTCCCTTCACCTACCGGGGTGTCTTGGCCAAGCCTCTACCCTGTACTCCAGTCACCACATCTGAAAGTCCCAGAACTGTCCGATTGACACTGAGGCCTTGTGCTCTTGGGTTGGTGGCCACTAAGGATTTCTCATTCTTTTCTCCAGCTCAGAAGGTTCCCCTCACCCCACCCCAAACTGAGGATTGTGTGAGGCTGCAAAGCATTGAAAATGAATGTTTAATAAGATTCTGCATCAGTTGTGTAGTTTGGCTGAGTGTGCTGCAGCCCCAGAGACCTGAAAGAATTAATACAGGTCCCCAAGGAGCTGGTGGGAATTGCTGAGGCAGACGCAGAATCTGATTTGATGAATATGAAAGTACTTGGAGAGCGTCAGAGAGAAAGTGCTCTAACAAATGCTCTGTTCAGCTGTCTCCTGCTGTCTAAGGAACTCTCTCCAAGAAGGTGTCAGGGCTGGGGACCACACAAGACACACGCCTCTCCTTCCCTGCCCAGGCAGGCCAGCCAGTCCTTCCTGGCCTTACAGAGGCAGAGGGGCATCCCCTCCTCTCCCATTCTCTCCAAGTTTCTTGTTCCTCCCTTCCAAACGTCCTTCCACCAGCTTCAGCCCAACTCTCACACCTGGTCCTCACAGCATCCTGCCCCAATCATTCTATTCTCTTTTTCCCTCCTCTCCTAATCAGCGCTGCCAGTGGGTCCAACGAAATGACCCCCTCTCATCGTTCTAAGTCAAACGCCTTTTTCAAACCCAACCCTGGGAGCCTGTCCTTCCATCAATCCTAAAGCCTTAGACCCCTGCCGTAAAGTGACAGCCAGGTGCAGGGACCCCACAACTGTAAACCCCCTGCTGTTCAGGGTCTGGAGTTACACTCTCCTTCCCCTCATCCCACCGGCTACAGGGAGAAAGGTTCCTCCCATCGTTTGCCCCGCCCTCTCTGACTGCAAAGAAAGTCTGGAGGAGCAGAAACTTGACATCTCTCTGGCCTAAAAACTTTACATTTTATTCCTTAACACAACCTACAACCACGTTTAGTCATTTTTAAATAGCTTCCATTATTTACCACGGCGGGGAAAGCGGGTGGCGGGGGTGGGAGTGAACGTTTTCCATCAGAATACTGAAGGGAAATGGACATTGGAGACATTGCTGAAAGTGCCAGGGCTTGCCTCAGGATACCACGGGGTATCTCCGCACCCACCTCCACTTCCCCTGGCTGCGCGGCTGAGCTCCAGGGCACAGCGGGATACTTCCAGAACAAAAGTAAAAAAGGCTTTTCCATTCATTTCCTGCTAGAGGAGGCAAGAGACCATCTCCCTTCAAATCAAGACAGATGCTAACAGAGCCCTAGAGTTACTTAGGCTGCCTTTATGGCGGCCCCGGCGACCGGCGACCCCCTGGCTCCCGCCTTACCTTGTCGGCCATGATCATGGAGGCTCCCCCGTGGATGCCCAGGATGGGGATGAAAGTCTGTGAGGAGATAAAATCCAGCATCTGGGCCACTGCCTCCTGGTCGGTGTCGTCCCCGAACACCAGGCCGTGGATGCGTGCCCCGGACATAAGGTCGCACACGTGCGTGATGAGGCTCTTGGGGTCCGTGCGGTTCATCAGCAGCGCCACCACGTTCACGTCCAGCGGCAAGCCGGCCGCCTGCTCGGGGCCCCACAGGGTCCGCAGCTCGCGCTCCGTCACGTCGTGGCTGTGACCCAGCAGCACCGCGATATTCAGCGCCGGAGGCCCCTTCTCCGCCGCCGCGCCCTGCGCGGGGCCACGCCAGACCAAAAGGGCCGGCAACACCAGCAGGGTCCAGTAGCCCAGTCTGCCCATAGTCGCCACTTACGGTACCTGCCGAGGTGGGGGGGGGGGTGGATAGAGACAGGGCCACGGTGAGTCCGAGGTCTCCACTGAATGAGACCCTGCCCCGCCCCCGCTCTAGGAGCCTGGAGTGGAGCTCACTCCCACTGTCCATCCATGATGCCATCCACACCCCTTGACCCACCTCTAACTCGACCCACAACTCTGGTCTTAGCGAAGAGCCCTCTGTGCCCAAGCCAATCCTGGCATCCAGGCCCCCCTCCATCCCCAACTCTACCCAGAGTTCCCACTGCACCCCGCAGGTTGGCTGCTGACCCCAACCCCTCTGCACTGAGGGGAACAGGAATCCCACCCAGCTGTAGGTACACTGATCAAGTCCTCCACCCACCAACTCTGCCGCAGACCAAGTTACGGACCCGCCCCCTGCTCAAGACAGCAAGTGCTCTACAATGCAGACCCAACCTGCGGAGGCCACGCTCAGCTCCCCACCTCCACCCCTGGGAGCCCCCTGGGGAAACACAGGACAAACTCTCAGGCCCCTGCACCAGACCATTCAGAACTGGGGAGTCAAAGTGCTAGCTGGTGTGGACCCAGACTCCTGCCAGACCTGAAGGAACTTAGGGTCAGCTTCAGCCTGTGCAGAGGGGCCTTGGAGCATTTCCTCTAAACTACAAGGGCCCCAGGCCCGCCCTTGTCCCACACGCGTGCAAGCGTGCGTGCACACATACATGAAACACACACACACACACACACACTCTCTCTCTCTCTCACGCACGCCGCGCGCAATGCAGAATTCCAAAGAGGAGGCTCATCCCCCGCGGGCCAGCGCGTGGGAGCCAGCAAAGAACGTGCGTGGGGGGGGAAAAGGTAGGCTTTCGAGATGCGCTCAGGCCAAAACGGACTGTGCAGCCCCTCCCCAGCTTTCCACTGTAGGCCCTGTCCCCAAATCTTAGGTGCACGTGGGCAGCGGGGCTGCACTCGCTCACAGGCACACGCATATTTCTGCGCCCAGCCGCAGACTTCCTTAGCGGTGACCACCGCCATCCGGAGTCCACACACGTCCTCGGGCAGCGCACACGCATGTAGCGCGCCAGGTGCACAAGCGCGCGTGTCTGCAAATACCAGCACAGGCGTGCACGCGTGCACAGGCGCGCGCCCCTCCGGCCAGGCGCCGCTGGTGCCCGGGAAGTTGGAGAACTCGCACCGGCCTGGGCGCTCTCGGCACAGGAGCCGCGGCGCGCGGAGCTGCAGCGCCCCCTGGTGCTCCTCCCTCGTCTCGTCATTGGTGCTCCCTCTCCCGCTTGCTCTCTCCCTCTCCAGCTCTCCCTCCAGTCTAGTAACCCTCCTCCAGGGCCCGCTGAGTCCAAATCTCCCGCTGGGACGTACCTGTAGCCGGAGAAGGTCGAGGATGCGGTGGGGCGCGCTGCGCGCACGAGCATCTCGGCCGCCTCAGCAGCCACCGGGTTTAGCGGGTTCCCGCATGCTGCGGCCCCCGCGCGCTCCCCTGGCTGTCCCACGCTGTCCGCATCGCCCCCACGGGGGGCGGCTATCCCAGCCGAAGGCTCTGCAGCAGGGATCTATGGGGCGGAGAAGAGACAGATAGGCAGGGTCAACCCATGAGCCAGGGAAGAGACTTAGAGGGAACAGGCTGCAGGCTGCAGCACGCACAGCTCTCTGTCGCCCAGGGGGGCTCGACCGGAGAGGGAGAGCTGAAGCTCAGCGCCAGAGACGCCCCCGGTGCGGATCCTCAGACCCTGTAGCCGCCATGGAGAGCTCCCCTCCGGGGCGGATAGGACGGTGGGAGCCCCAGGTTGGCCATCCATGGGAAGCTAACTAGGTACCTTCACCCTCGCCCCCTACCACCTCCCCAGAGCTGGCTGCTTTCTGGGAGTTGTGCGACCAGAAGCCGCTTAGCTCGGGTGGGGGATGAGGGGGGACAGAGAGAAGGAGGGGGAATGGAAGAGGGGGAGCGCTGGCTGAGTTTGCGATGAGCCGACAGGAGGAGAGGGGGAGGGAAAAACGAGGGCTCCCGCGGTCCCGGATCCCCGAGGGAGGTGCGATCAGTCCCACGCAACGACCCTCTTCTGTCCTGCCGCCCCTTCCTATCCAGGCCTCCCACCGTTGCTTCTCAGAAGGGGCCGCCAGGCCGCGCGTCCCGCGCCAGCACTCACCGCAGCCTCTCTCCACATAGTTCTCAGCAGTGGCCGCTCCTGGTCATCTCCAGGGCTGATGGCTGCGGCCACGACTCTCAGCGCGCGCGGGGCCCCATGCTCCGGCTAAGCTCCCGGCGCCTCCCTCCAGGAGCCGGAGCTCGGCTCCCTGCCCCAGTCCGGACAGCAGCCGCCCGGTCCTCGGAGCGCACCCGGGCGCCCTCTCCGCAGCCCCGGCTTCGGGCTGGTGTGTGAGAGGATGAGTGTGTGGTGAGTGAGTGTGGGAGCGCGCGCGCGTGTGGCCGGGGATCCCCGCGGTCCCCGGCCGCGAAAAGCGCGGGCGGGGGAAGGCAGCTCCCTCCGGGCGCGTCGCAGCGGGGCCAGTTCGGGGCCAGGCGTTCGTCTCCCCACTTGCCAGCGGGCGTCCGGAGAACGCCTGGCCGCTGTGGTTCAGAGCACGGGCAGAGCCGGGCTCCCGGAGCGTTCTCGCGCTGCAGTCGTCTCAGAAGAGGAGGAGGAAGACACGGCGCCCCCCACGCCAACTTAGGGACTTGTTCTCCGCGGGCGAGACGCAGCAGCCCCCGCGCGAGCCAGAGATGCTTGGAGCTACCGCGGGCGAAAGCGTCTCCACCCGCAGCCACCCTCCCTAGAGGCTGGCTGAGGCAGACCCCGCAGTCCCTCGGCGGCGGCGGCGGAGAGCTCGGTCACCCTCTCGCTGAGCGCACGGAGGCGACAAGGCCAGGCTAGGTGGCTGGCTGGCGGAGGGGGCGCCTGCAGCGGCGCGCGCCGCTGTCCGTGGTGCTGGAACCACGCTCTCCGCCCGCTCCTAGGCGTCTGGTGCGGCTGAGGAATCAATTATTCAGATCTCCGCTACCGTTTCCTCCTCCCCCAGTGCCTCGCACAGGGTACAGCAAACCCCCCCCCCTCCACGCACAGGCGCGCCAACACACACACACACACACACACACGCGCGCGCGCGCGCGCGCGCGCGCACACACACATGCACACACAGACAGAGCCAGCTCCAACGCTTCTCCCGGTGTCTTGCCACCCCCATACAGGAATCCACTTCTCTGATCTCATGAAGCCAGAATGCTAAAAGGGATGACATCTACGGGCCCCCCATTTTCTTTTCGTTTCTTCCCCTCCAAGTTGCATGAAATAAGAGTCGCCCTGAGCTTGCCAGCCAGCAAGAGGGGCTGCCTGGGTGCCAAGGGACTGCTTAGCTGGCAACTGAGTATGAAAGGCATTGGCAAGGGAGGACACCCATCGAGGCTGCTGCTGTATAGACATCTCCCCGGTGTAGACCTCTATTAGGATTGGTCTTTGAATTCAATTGCATACCTGGAGAAAACTGCTAACTGAAAGGTTAGTCACTGGAAGTCACCCAACAGCTCAGCAGAAGAAAGGCCTGGCGATCACTCCCTATAAAGATGACTAGAAAACCCTGTGTGGCAGTTCTATGCTGTCACATGGGGTCGCTACGAGTTGAAACTCTGATGGGCATCATCTGCACAGACTGTAAGAGGGTATGTGATTATCACAACCTCCCTACTGTGAGGAATCAGAATGTTAAAGCATACACAGCTGAGGTCATCGAGGCGATTCTCTAGTCAAGAGTTTCAAATGGAAAAACCTCTTTTCCCACATCTCTCCCACTGTTGTCTGATTGGAATCCACTCATAACTAAGTGGGTATCCATGGCTGTAAATTGTGTGTGGGAGATGATTACACACCTTTCTTCCTTGGAGCCCCAGTGGATTCAACCCACCAAAGATGGGTGGCCTCCAGGTTAACTGTATACAGACTGCCACTCAAGCTTCCTAGTGTATTAATTATGGCAACAAAGACCATGTCCAGAGAGAGGAGAAAAGCCCACGTCAGCTGCTATCCAGTTTGCCAATTGGCTATCTCACCAGTCACATCATTAAAGTAACCGAAATAACCTAGTCTGGGTTTAAGGAACAAATCGTTTCAGCTATTTTCAATCTCATTGATCTATCTTCAAAAGCACCACTAAAGAAATGACCCTGCAGTTGCTTCTTGCTTTGAGTCCGTTAAAACACTGTGGTTAAAGACCAACCATCGTCCCCTGTCTACAGAAAGAACTAAAATGAGGCAGTCGTTGATTATGCGGCTCTTCATAGTTCCATGCTCAAAGGAAACTGACAAAGAATCACAGGTGTCCTGATTTATAACAGGGTTCTGTTCCAATGGACTACCAAGGAAGTTGGTTCTGATGTAAATCAGAAACTTTCTCATTATTAGTGCCTTTTCCCATCAATATATTTTTTTATCATCAATATCTTTATGAACATACATTGGGCACCAGGTCTTAGAAAAAGATGTCATGCTTGTAAAAACAAAGGGTCAGCAAAAGAAAGGAAGACAGTCAACAAGATAGACTGATACAATGACGTTAACAATGAGCTTGAACTTGGCAGAGATCTGAGGATGGAGGAGGACAGCGGAAGGTTCTGATCTGCTGTTCACAGGGTCACTATAAGTCATAGTAAACTAGAAGGCATTTTAACTACATAACACCTTTATACATAGTCAATCTTCTGTCCTTTGGGGGTACTTAAAGATATGATGGCGTCAGCAAACTGCACACTACAACACTGTACGTTGTTGTTGTTGTGTACTGTCGATTCAGAACCAACCCATAGCTGGCCTTCCTGTGGGTTTTCAGAGGAAGTTAATTGCACAGAAGGAGACTGCCTATCTTTCTCCCATGGAGCAGCTGGTGGCCTCGAACTGTGTGCCTTTGAGATTGCAACACAGCTTCTTGTCACTAGGCCACTAGAGCTCCTTGTATATAGTGCATATTATTAACAGGATGTACAAAACCATGATAAATATGGTTCATCTTGGCTTCTTGAATAACATTTTGGAACAGAAATCCCTTCAGCTTCTACCTTGTTGTCAGTGTATTTTAAACAACAAAAATTCCATAGTCTAAGTTTTCTGCATTCAGGTGATATGAGGAATTCTGTATACCTGAGTTACATGAGTCTTATGTTAAGGTGACTCATTCATTATTAAGTCCTGTGATTTTAAAATGCTTTTGATTTAATGATGATTACAGAATATAATTCATGTAATTGATGTCACTAAATTGTATACGTGGAAACTGTTTCAATGTTACAGTTAAGGATTTGATGAGACATTGCAATAAATGGCATTAATCAACTGTAATTAATGTTATAAAACTACATATATGAGTGACTGACTGAAAATCTTTTTTTAAAAAAATAAATAAAAGATGCTTTAGACTTCCTTTCAGATTTGCTTAGTTCTGTGTTCTGAGTGGCTCTGCTAGTTGGTCAGAGTTGGCCCCAATTTGCTATTCCTGACTTAGTAAATCCTCGTGGATTCCTGATTTTAGCACAGCACGATTCTGATAGCCTATATTTCCTTTACTTTCTCTCAGATCCTAATCTCTATGTCACTAGACTGGTAATGTTAAGGACTTTTTTCCCATTATGCCTTGGTTTCTCCATTTGTACAAAAAAGTATTAGACTAGCTAAGATCATCTCAAAGCCCCCTTCCATGTCTGATGTTTTATGATTCTATGACTTTTCCTGATGGCCTTGACCCATGACTCTGAAGGTGCTAGTTAGCACTTTCATAGTATCTTCTTTTCAAAGGCTAAAACTATATTCCTACCCCTATAAACTATTCAAGTACCAGTAGATCTAATCAAGAGGCAGACAGCTCTGGTGACTTAATGGGCAAGGAGATGCACTGTCAACCCAAAGGCAAGTGGTTCAAATCCACCAGCTTCTCCAAGGGAGAAAGCCCACTGTTGTTGTTGTGTACCATCAAGTCTGAATCAACCCACAGCTGGCCTCCCAGCAGGTGCAGTTTCTCACAGGGGGAGATTATCCATCTTTCTCCCACAGAGCAGCTGCTAGATTCGAACTGCGTGCCTTCAGGATTGTAGAGCAGCTTCTTGCCATGAGGTCACCAGAGCTCTCCCTCAGACTGGAGTCATTTCGACTCAGTGATGCACACCAAAAACAGTCAAAGGGCAAGGTTTTCCTAAGGAAATCAACTACCCATCTTTGAAATGAAATTGCATATAGCATTTACAAAAATCTATTTACATTTATTTACAAAAGATGTCTTTCCTCTTCGGCTTCCCCCCAGAACACTGAAGCAGCCCAGTGTTCTTCCTTGTATCAGAGCAGAGTTTGAGAGACACCCAGAAATGTCCCTGCATGTGAGCTGTGAGTCAAGAGGACTGCTTTCCACCATATTTTGGGAAGTCATTAACCTCTTCAGGAAACATTCTGTTACATGGATGACCTGCTTTTTCCAGCACTGTAGTGAAGGGTACACAAGTATATACGGAGACACTGAGATGTGAGTACCCTGAGATATGGGTTTATGAATATGGTAAGGTTGGCTCCACAGTCAACACTATTGGCACCAAGAGCCAGGAAATTAAAAGACATATTGCGATGGGAAAGTCTGAGGTTAGAGACTTCTCTAAAGAACTGAGGTGCAATGATGTCAATCTGGAGACTAAGGTGCACCTGATACATGCCATGATCTTTGCAGTCACTTGTATGCATCAGAGAGCTAGACAATGACTATGGAGGATAGAAGGAGAATTGATGCCTTTGAGCTGTGGTGTTGGAGAAGAGTGTTGAATATACCATGGACTGCTAAGAGAACAAACAGGTTCATCCTAGAGAGGATGAAATCAGGCTACTCCTTGGAGGCAAGGATTCTGAAGCTTCATCTGACATACTTCGGACATGTTGCAAGGAAGGACCCGTTCTTGGAGAGAGACGTCATACTTGGGAGGGTGGATGGATGGACAGTGCAAGTGGGGAAGACCCTTGATGAGATGGATTGATTCAGTGACTGGGGTAATGGGGGTAGGTGTGTCGGAGATAGTGAGATTGGCACAGGATAAGGCAGAGTTTAGGGCTGCTGGACATAGGGTCACTATGAGTTGTAGGCAACTTGACAACACAAAACAACAACAACTGAGATATGAATATATTCATATATAAGGATACTGAGACTGAGGTTCTGAAAGCCCCCAAGAGCACACTGCATTCTTGTTAAGATTTTTTTGTTTTTATTTTTACATGCATAGTTGATG